TGCGGCCTTCCCGCTCCTTGAGTTCTCTCCAGCGCTGGAAAGCTGATCCGAAATTTACACGGGTCCTACTTCTTGCCTTATCGTAAGCCTTTTTTTTTTGTTCCGCAGACATTTCCTCTTGTTTTTTTATCCGCCATCTCTCTTTCTGTCGTCGCTCGGCTCGGCTAATGTCCGTCCTGTGCACTGAGCGCTCTCTCGTCCCCATCATGAGTAGACACGCCCCTTACTGCTGATTGGCTACAAGTTTGTTTTGGTACTCGGCCCGACTCTAAAGCGTTTTTGAAAAAATACATACCCCACCTTTAACTGAGCAAATAAACCAACTGTAAACGACCTTTAACAGAAGCCAGAGATGCTGAAGACGAAAGCAAAGAGGAGAAAATACTGTAGCATTCACAATGCGCGAAATATTGGAAGAAAATCATAAATAAGCTACTGAATTGGGGTGGGGGTTTGTATGAATGTACATGTATCTCTGAGGAGAACTGACTGTCTTCAGAAAAGTTTGGTATTTTCTTTTCATCTTACCGCCATAATAATGCATATTAGTGTAGTATTGAAAAGTACAGCACTGCTTTGTTTACAGCAGTAACCAAGGAAACGTTGTATGGCCATAACTTCCATAAGCACCACCTGCTGTAAGAGAGTGAATTTGCATTTTCATTCAGTTCTTTTGCGATTTTTTTTGTTTCGTGCAGATATTTTATGTGGCATAATTTCACAAAGCAAAGGTCAGACCATTCTGTTTTTGCTTTAAATTTTGAAATCCTGCAATCTAATTGACTTTAAAAACTTTGAATATTATATGTAGCATGTTTGTTTAGATTCGTGATTAAAATGCAGTGGTTCTGTAACTGTTTCATGCATTCTCATTCATATGAGCACAGTCGGGGAAAAACCATGATAAACCGTGAAACCACCAGAATCCTAGAAAAACCTAGATCTAATGAAATTAACTACTAATCAACTAGTTGGTTGTTGAAAAAAAACTAGTTCAAAATCCTGCCTATCCCTAATGCATTGCAGCCTGCTGAATCTTGTACATCTGTTTGGTATTACAACACAGGAGTCCTACATGTGAATACTTACCAGTGTTTGGTAAAATGGAGTAAACAGAGTACTTAATGGTTTCTGTCAGTCGAGGCCTGAGGGCGTTTCTGCCCCACACTTACAGGATCTGGCCTAAAATAAAAGCATCTGGGCAGACCTAAGGAATTAACCCAAGCTCAGATGCTCTCAAAGTACTGAAGTGCTGCTGAATCTGGATCAGTTTTGCATTTTAACACAAACAGGGTAAGGGCGGCAGTGCAAATGTAATCTTTTCCAGATCGTGCAAGTTCAATCTTCTGATGCCTGCCAGCTGCCACAGAACCAGCACAAGATTGAAGGTGTAAGGCTGAGGATATGTGCATGCTTTGTGGTTCACAGCCAAAGCGACTTGCATATGTGCTTGCCAGTCTAATGGCTTTAAAAAGAGATGGAAACTCTTCAGATGGCACTGCGGCATTACTATTACTATTACCAGTATAGAAAATGTAAAAATGCAATTCACTTCATGTGATTTTATTTTGTAGAGTCTTTTATTTTGTTTCTAGTTGACTTCGCAGGTGGCACTGACCGTAGAAAAAAGGGTAAACTCCGCTTTTTTTTCTCTATGTATGTGATAACTTTAACTGGAAATCATAACTGGTCCATATTTACCAATTCAGATGAATAATTATCAGTTTGCTGACAAAATTGTCATATTTCAGCAGTTCCTTGTGAAATACCCTGCAGTGTTCCAGCAGTACTTTGAGTATTTGAATACAAGTAGATTCATCAATGTCTCTACTTGTTGCCAAGTAAAATAAATAAGTGCTTGTTTATGTCTCCAATGCAGCTGCTCTGCAATGTCGGGCACTCCGAGGAAAAGTTTGGCTTTACCTATGAAGAAATGATCATATGGTGAGTCATAGAGCAAAAAAAAGCAAGGTTGAAGCAAATGTGTTTTGATCTTCTCATCTGAGTGTTTTATTTTTGTTCAGTTATTTTATTTAAATTTATAAAATTATTGTTTAGAAATTAAATTATAAAATTTTGACATAAGTAAAACAGACGTTCAAAAGTTTGGAGTCAGTAAGTTTAT